TATTCTATTCTATTCTATTCTATTCTATTCTATTCTATTCTATTCTACTTCACTTCTAATTCTATTCTACTCTATTCTCTGTTCTGTTCTATTTTCTCTACTCTATGCTACTCTACCTATTCTAATTCTACTCTATTCTAACTCTACTCTATTCTAATTCTACTCTACTCTGCTCTCCAGAAACCTATATCCAAGAAGAAATTTCTTGACAGTTAGAACAATTAACCAGTGGGATGACTTGCTCTATCAGTTGTGAGTTCTCCAACACTGGAAACTTTTAAGAAGAGATTGGACAACCCATTTGACTGAAATTGTCTAGGGTTTCCTGCCTAAGCAGGGGGTTGGACTAGAAGACCTCCACGGTCCCAACTCTAAACACACAAGTGTCCCTTTGAGCGATGCTTGTATACCGGTATGTCCACTGAAGTTTTCTGTAATTAGCTGCTTGTGACAAGGAAAAAGACTGAAGTGCAGGTCAATTTCACTTGGAAATAAGCCCCATCATACGGGTAGTCCTAGGCTTACAACCACGACGGGGCCCCAACATTTCCGTTGCTAAGCAAGGCAGTTGGGAGTTTTGCCCCCTTTTACAACCTCTTTTGCCACAGTTGTTAAGCGAATCACATCAAGGGAATCGGTCTTCCCTCAGGAAGCCAGTTGAGAAGATGATGATGATCACATGACACCAGGCAGTGCCACCGTCAGTTGCCATGGGTCCTGATCACGTGACCAACCTTTTGATCATGTGACCCCCCCCCAGGGATGCTGCAATCATCATAAATATTTTGGTTTTGCATCGAACGCTTTGTATCAAACGTTGCTGTATCCAACATTTCGGCTTTGCAGCCAATACTTTTGTATCCAAGGCTTCCATTCGTTGTATCAACTATTTCTCTTTTGTAATAAATGCTTTGAAATAAGTTTCCTCCCAAACAAGCAATTAAATGGGGCTTATTTGTCAAGCCCATTCCAGCATCTTTGGATCGATTAAGACAATTATTTTAGCGGCAACACATTTTCAATTGTCGCTTATCCCTGACCACCACCCACATACAAACACACACGCAGCAAAGCACCGCAGCTGAACAAACACAGCTTTCAGTAGTCTTTGGATTTATTCCCAGATATTTTTTCTCGGAGGTCAGCTGGATAGTTAAATCAGATTTGCTTAAGCCCTGAATGGTAGCCAACCCGAAGCCCTTTGCCTTCAAAAGTTCCTGACACACATCACTGTGAGTTGTAATAAAATATTTGTAATTTAATTAAGGAAATCTTTTGATCCAAAAAGACCGGCAAGAAATTTACAGGGTTTGTTTGTTTTTAACTCTGATACTTAAGTCATATTTATTAAGAATGGGAAGGAATCCATTAGGTCAAGCTTACTCGGCTAAAATTCTTCACCCTCCAATGACCAAAGGGTTTAAAACTTTTAAAGCCAAATTACAGACAGTTCTCAACCATTCGTTCGGTAGCTACTTGAAGTTACAATTAGTCCTCGGCTTACGTTAGTTCATTTAGTGACTGATCAAAGTTACGAAGGCACTGGAAAAAAGTGACTTAGGACCTTCTTTTCAGAATTACTACCTTTGCTGCATCCCCGTGATCGTGTGATCAAAATTTAGACACTTACGATGGTAGTTGTGTCCCAAGGTCATGTCATCCCCTTTTGCGACCGTCTGACAAGCAAAGTCGATTCACTTAACAACCGTGTGACTAACTTATCAACCGCAATGATTCACTTATCAACGGTGGCGAAAAGGGTCGTAAAGTGGGGCATAAGTCACTTCACAAATGTCTCACTTTACAACAAAAAATTTTGGGCTCAACTGTGGTCGTATGCCTGTCTTTCTGTCTCTCTCTCTCTCTCTGTGTTTATTAATATAAAATAGAAATAAAGACAATGGGAAAATGGGAAAAGAAAGGAAATAGAGGACATAAGCGAGGGAAGGAGGGAAAGGAATTTTTTTAAAAAAGAAACAAAACAATGACGTAAGTTATGGGAACATAATAATGTTATAGTCTCAGCTTTTTATTTATGCCAAATAATAATCACCAGCCTTTTCTAAAGCAATAAAAAATAGCGCATGAATTCTAGAGTTTATCTCTATTATTTAGAGTTTTACTATAAACTATTCTAGAGTTTATCTCTATTATTTAGAGTTTTACTATTTAGTTTATTTATTTTATGTATTTATTTTATTATTTAATTTATCTTTATTGTTTAGTTTATTTATTTATTTGGTTGATTTGGTTTATTATTTACTTTATCTTTATTGTTTAGTTTATCTTTATTATTTAGTTTATTGAGTGAGCTAGTTTATTATTTACTTTATCTTTATTATTTAGAGTTCCCCAACCTTTCGGTTTTGCAACCCGACAAGGGAGACGGGATGGTTCCACGCCACGTGGGCCCATTGCTCGTGCAAATGGCCCATGAGTGCGCGCACACACACACACACACACACACACACAGTTGCCGTTCACACAAGTGGGGATGCGTGCATGTATGCCTGTGCTCAGCCACCACTTCTGTGGCTCGGTTCTGAACGGTTCAAGGCCCAGTACCGGACCGCAGCCTGTAGACTGGGGACCCCTGAGATAAATGAAATACATGGAACAAAATCAAGTGGCATGGATGATATGGAAGACACGGGTTCAGCAGGGGTGGGCTTCGAAAATTTTAGCAAGGGGGCCTCTGTCCCGGCGGCTGGGTGGGTGTGGCTATGGTAGCCGTGGCCTAATCGGCCTCCTGCACCGCAGCGGAGGAGGTTGTTTTTTCCCTGGACTCCGGAGACTTTCCTCCAGTGGTGAAGCACCCACAACTTCTGGTGGCAGGCTGTTCCATGGGTTCATTGTCCTCACTGTTAGGAAATGGCTCCTTAATGCCAGGTTGCTTCTTTCCTTGGTTAAGTTTCCATCCATTGCTTCTTGTCTTGCTTTCTGGTGCTTTGGAAAATAAGCTGAGCCCCTCTTCTTTGGGGCCACCCCCTCCAATGCTGGACTACCGTTATCATGTCCCCCCTAGTCCTTCTTTTCTCTCGGACTCCAAGGTCCCGCTAGGAGTGACTGTTTTTGCTTTTCCTGAAGAAGCTTCTTGGATGAGAAACAAAAAATTTTCAAGGACAGAAAACCCCAGGAAATATGAGGGTTGCGGTCAGGGGTGGGCTTCCAATTTTTAGCAAGGGTTGGTTCTCTGCCCTGGTGGCTGGGTGGGCGTGGCCATGGTGGGCGTGGCTTAGTCGGCCTCCTGCACCACAGCGGGAAGAGGGGGCGTTTTTGCCCTCCCTGGGCTCTGGGGGTTTTCCTCGAGCCTCCGGGAGGGTGAAAATGGCCTCCCCGTTTTCTCTCCGGAAGCTGGAAAATGGGCCCATTTCCAGCCTCGCCAAACTTCCGGGAGGCTCGTTTTTCACCCTCCCTGAGCCTGGGCACACCTACCTGCACCCAAAACAGGCCAGGTGGGGACTCCTGGGAGGGGAGGGGCAGGATGGGCGGGGCCAGCCGGAAGTGGGATTTGGGGGGGTTTCTCCAAACTGCACAGAATCTTAGCTGGGGGCTCTCCTGACCCCGCCCCCTGCGAACCCCCAGCAGCCCAACCCTCGGGTTCACACGTATTAGCTCATGGTTTGTTTATAGCTTGTCTCGTGACAATTGGAAAAGGACCTATTTTGCCTTATGTAACTCGACTAGTCACTGCCGTTCTTCAAAGATGACTCCTGAACTGTAAGTCTTGTACCAAGAGGCTTCCGGACTTCGGCAGAACAGCCCTTGGAGTGTTTGGAGAGTAAAAAAACAGAACGGTCAAAGACCAAGGGCAGCCTGTCTTATACAGCTCAACCGAGATGCCGTCATGCCAGAATCCCAGTATGAAATGGTGGCCTCTTGCAGGAAGGAAGCCAACTCATTTCCTTTGTAACTCCAGGACACCAAAAAAATAATAATAATAAATAAATATACCAGCTGGTATCTGAGGATTTCCCTCTCTGACCGCAGCAAAATGAAATATTATATAAAGTGTTCAAGTTCACAGCGGGTTTTTTTTTTTAAAAAAAAGAGAGAGAGAGAGAGGCAGGCCTCGGCCAAATGGGGGCCTTTTGATTTTAAATTATTTCTCAAATAGCGGCAAGAACCTCTGCAAAAGTCAAAGATTCACTTCTTTGGCAAAGAGCTGAAAAAAACCTTTAAAGGCTGCATATCCCAAAGCTTAGAAGTGGGTGGGGATTGAAGGAGGAAGTTCTGAATGGATGTGGCATTCCTTAAATGCCTTTGGAATTGCAAAAGGGAGCAGAGATTGGGAGCTGGTGAGGAAAAGTGAAGGAGAGAGGAGAATAAGAAGGTTCAAGAATTCAGAATAGCTAGCTGGACAGCCATACATCAAAAGCATTTTGGTTATCAGTAATTTGTGTTTCCATGGTAGAGGTAATCCAGTACTCTGACAGGCCCATCCTTAAGTGCCTTTATTTGGTTTTTCACATCAAATGGCATTAGTTCAGCAAATTAGAACAGAATAGAATTCTTTATTGGCCAAGTGTGATTGGACACACAAGGAATTTGTCTTGGTACAAATGCTCTCAGTGTACATAAAAAGAAAAGATACATTCGTCAAGAGTCAAAAACCATAAGGTACAACACTTAATGATAGTCATAGGGTACAAGAAGCGATCAAATCATACCAGGAAACAGTCAATATAATCGTAAGGATACAAGCGACAAACTTACAGTCCTACAGTCACAAGTGGGAGGGGATGGGTGATAAGGACTGATGACAAGATTAACAGTAATAGTAGTGCAGACTTTATAAATAGTTGGACAGTGTAGAGGGAATTATTTGTTTAGCAGAGTGATGGCGTTCGGGAGAAAATTGTCCTTGTGTCTAGTTGTTCTGGTGTGCAGTGCTCTATTGCATCGTTTTGAGGGTAGAAGTTGAAACAGTTTATGTCCGGGATGTGAGGGGTCTGTAAATATTTTCACATCCCTCTTTATTGAGATATAAGAATCAGGAACTTTAAACTGGCTCCCCTGTAAGAGGTCAGAATCAAAACTATGGCTTGTTTCAAGCTTGTTTGTTTGTGGTTTATTTGGAAACTTACAAAGGTGCTTTATGGTTTAACTTTAGACGTTTCTGGTATTGGGGCAGCCATGCAACTTGTGGACATTAACAGAATAAAAGAGTTGGAAGGCACTTTGGAGGTCTTCTAGTCCAACCCCCTGTTCAAATAGGAGGCCCTATACCATCTATATAGTATATACTATTAAGGCAGAATTCCTCATAATGTTGGCTTACACTAGCTTAAAAACGAAGTCAATATGAGCCGATGTCACTTGAAGGCTACAATTACCTAAACAGAGCAATAGTGAGTATAAGTAGATAGCAGGATTCAGTGATTCCTCTAAAACAAACAGATTAATTCACCAAATCAGATTTTCTAATCCAACTACCAAATTAATTCCATCCAGCACTGAAGAAGCTTCTTGGATGAGAAACAAAAGCGCTTTCAAGAAAAAACAGACCGTCCAGTTGCCTCTTGAAAAAAAAGCACCTTTGGGCATTCCTAATTTTAAATAAATAAACAAACGAACCAACCAACCAACCAATAAATAAATAAATAAAATTAATTAAGAATTCCTCTCTTTGGCAAAGACGGTAAGTCGATAGCATTCTGAAAAGATGCTCAAAGCAACAGAGGACACCTTGTGCAACCTTCCCCCTTTGCATTCTTGCACGCCCACCCTCTTAACATCTGCTTCTCACACTCACACAGGCGTGCACACCCACCCTCGTAGGCACACACACACACACGCATCCATTGATTTTGCAGCCCGGGCAACTTTGCTCCTGCCAGGCACTGGTGCATTGACGGCAAATCCGCCCCTTATCCATCCTGGGGAAAAGCGAGAAAGCCGGGGCGAGCATCCCCTTACCTTGCCCTTGTCCCGAGCCGTCGCTCCGTCTGCAGCTGGGCCCAGAAATGCGGAAGGAGGCGAAGAATTCGCTCTCCCAACCCCGCTTCTATCCCACCTCCCCCGCGGGCTCTTCTAGCGTTCTCCTCTCTATGATCCCAGCCGGGCTTTGAAATGAATGAAACCTATTCGGGGAGAAAAGGTCATAGAAAAGCAAGGCCTAGAACGGCGTTCTGTCTGTGGTCCTTTTCCCTTAACGAAGCCACCGGGGACATCTTTACTCTGGGAAGGCGATGCCTTTGCTCGCTTTTGCAAATCAGGAGGATGTCATTTGGATGAATCGAGAAGGGGCATTGGCAGAGTTTGGTGTCCTCTCAGATTTAAGGACCTCTTAAGTGCAATGCCACTTAATTTTCCTCTTAATTTTGCCAGTGCAATGTTTGCATAGGAATGCAGTTGCTGGATTCAGCCCTTTTCTGGGTTCACGTAAAACATCGCCCCGTAAAATTCACCAAAAAAGGGAAAGTTGCCAGAATAACCGGCATTCGAAGTGTTGTGTGAATAGAGCCTTTTTGAGGTTGATACCCAAGCTTAAGCTTCCTAACTAGATGCCCTTTCAAATCTATGGGTGAGGATGCTTATAATCCCCAATCTCAGCGGGGCCAGAAGTGATGCTGTAAATCTCAAAGTAGTTATAGTTCAGTGGTGGGATTCAAAAAATTTTATTACTTGTTCTGTGGGTGTGGCGTGGCTTGGTGGGTGTGTCAGAGGAAGGTTACTGCAAAATCCCCCTTCCCTCCCCACCCCACTAACCTGCTTTCCAGCTCTGTTCTCCTGGGCACGGCAACCAAAGGAGACCCAGCCATCAGCTGTGGGCGTGGCTTGGTGGGTGTGGCAGGGGAAGGATACTGCAAAATTTCCACTCCCTCCCCATCCCACTACCCTGCTTTCCAGCTCTGTTCTCCTGGGCAAGGCAACCAAAGGAGACCCAGCTAATCATCTGGGACTCAATGGGAGGCAGAGAATAGGTGGGGTTGACGGGGCCGGTCAGAGGCGGGATTGGCCGGTTCTCCAGAACGACTCAAAATTTCTGCTACTTCTGGTTCTCCAGAACAGGCCAGAACCTGCTGAATATCCACCTCTGCTGTAGTTGCATGGAATTGTGCAGTTTAAAGAGCATGCAGTGAAGAGAAGTTCAATCAATCAATCAATCAGAATAGAGCTGGAAGGGATCTTGAAGGTCTTCTAGTCCACCTCAAGCAGGAGACCCAATACCATTCCAGACAAATGGCTGTCCAGTCTCTTCTTAAAAACCTCCAGCGGTGAAGCACCCACAACTTCTGGTGGCAAGCTGTTCCACGGGTTCATTGTCTTCACTGTTAGGAAATGGCTCCTTAATGCCAGGTTGCTTCTTTCCTTGGTTAAGTTTCCATCCATTGCTTCTTGTCTTGCTTTCTGGTGCTTTGGAAAATAAGCTGAGCCCCTCTTCTTTGGGGCCACCCCCTCAAATGCTGGACTACCGTTATCATGTCCCCCCTAGTCCTTCTTTTCTCTCGGACTCCAAGGTCCCGCTAGGAGTGACTGTTTTTGCTTTTCCCGAAGAAGCTTCTTGGATAAGAAACAAAAAATTTTCAAGGACAAAAAAACCCAGGAAATATGAGGGTTGCGGTCAGGGGTGGGCTTCCAATTTTTATCAAGGGGTTGGTTCTCTGCCCTGGTGGCTGGGTGGGTGTGGCCATGGTGGGCGTGGCCTAGTCGGCCTCCTGCACCACAGCGGGAAGAGGGGGCGTTTTTGCCCTCCCTGGGCTCCGGGGGCTTTCCTCGAGCCTCTGGGAGGGTGAAAATGGCCTCCCCGTTTTCTCTCCAAAAGCTGGAAAATGGGCCCATTTCTTGCCTCCCTGAACTTCTGGGAGGCCCGTTTTTCATCCTCCCTGAGCCTGGGCGCACTTACCTGCACCCAAAACGGGCCAGGTGGGGACTCCTGGGAGGGGAGGGGCAGGATGGGCGGGGCCAGCCAGGAGTGGGATTTGGGGGGTTTCTCCAAACTGCACAGAATCTTAGCTAGGGGCTCCCCCCTGCGAACCCCCAGCAGCCCACCTGATCCCATTATGGGACCTTCTGACGAGCAAAGTCAACAGAGAATCCAGATTCACTTAACAACCAGGTTACTAATTTAACCCAGCCGTGGTTCAACTTTCGTCAACTATGGCGGGGGAAGTTGTAAAATGGGGCAAACCCTTACTAAGCAACTATCTTGCCTAGCAATGGAAGTTTTTTGTGGCCCTGCCCCGAGGACCGACTGGAAAGATTCCCCTCACCATCACGAATCCCGTATGGAGCAACCTAATTAGAATAAAACCTGGTTTTCTGGCAGAGAGGAGCACCTCGGCTCACTTTCATACCCCAGCCCTGGGCGACAGAGCCTCTCTAAGGATGGAAATCCTTCAGGTTTTCTCAAGTTCATCTTTTCCCTTGGGAAATTAGGCAAACTGGAGAAAGAGAGGAAGAAAACAAAACAAAACCAAAAAATAGGCTGGACCGGCATGGCTGCATGCAGATAAGTTCTAATCTAATTTTTGCAAAAGTGTCTGCGTAGACTATTGTCTTTTGATCTCTGTCCCCAGATTCTTGGTACAATAGTGTTTAGATAAGTGGTGCTGAAGGTCATGGGATGTTTACAGTATTCTGAAAAATTAATATGCTACTTATAGACGTTTTTAAACTGCTTCTCTGAACTAGCAACACGAGCTGAATTTTCGTCGGTGGGAAGTCCCGTTGAGTTAAATTCTATCTCCACCCAGAGAGATGGCAATGGGCCAGTAGCTAAGTCTACACCTTCGCATCCCTTATTTTACTTACTTACTTATTTATATTTATAACCTTCCTTTGTTAGTTTTACAAGTAACTTAAGGCGGCAAACCTGTACAACACAACGTCCTGTTCCTATAGCTTCCCCACAACAACAACCCTGTGACATTGTTGGGCTGAGAAAGAATGACTGGTACAAAGTCACCCAGCCAACTTTCATGCCTAAGACAGAACTAGAATTCACAATCACCTGATGATTGGTCTACAGTCACCCAGTCGAGAGGCTGCCCCAAAGAAGAGGGTGGTCAACTTATTTTCCAAAGCACCAGAGGGCTGAACAAGAAGTAATGGATGGAAACTAATCAAGGAGAGAAGCAACCTCGGATTAAGGAGAAACTTCCTGCTTCTCTTTCATAATGAACCAGAGCCTTTAAAAGGATTCTTCACATGTTCTACCGACTAGGGGGATTGAACCTTTTGCACAATATTTCACAAGTTATGAATTTAGGAAACAACATGGTAAAAGGAAGTATTTTGTATAACCGATGTCTATTTTTAGTGGAACAACATTGAGCAATTGAGGATTTTGTGGTGTCATGCTCATTTCTGTGCTAGTGGTCACATCTAGGTGGACATAATAATAAGAAATAAATAAGATCAATAAATAAGACATCTGGGTTTTCTTACCTATAGAATTATATTTTAATCTGATCTATAACTTCGAGTATTGACTGATTCTGCTGATGGTTTATAGTTTTGTCAATTATTTGTATCATGTTAATCAAATATATTCAGTTTTATATTCAAGCTTAATAGGGATGAGAAGTTGGTTTGAGAAAGGCTACAATATACAGGTAGTCCTTAACTTACAACCATTCATTTAATGATGGTTACAATGGCACTGAATAAAGCGGTGTATAACCAGTCCTTACATTTGCAAGCATCACAGTAGCATCCCCGTGGTCACATAATTAAAATTCAAGGACTTGGCAGTCAGTATGCATTTGAAAAGGTTGTAGCATCCCAAGGTCATGTGATCATCATTTGCAACCTTCTCTATCGTAATAGAAATAGCACTTTATAGTGATTTTACAGCCCTCTCTAAGCGGTTTTACAGAGTCAGCCTCTTGCCCCCAACAATCGGGGTTCTCATTTTACCTACCTCGGAAGGATGGAAGGCTGAGTCAATCTTGAGCCTGGTGAGATTCGACCTGCAAAATTGCAGGCAGCCGGCAGTCAGCAGAAGTAGCCTGCAGTACTGCACTCTGACCACTGCACCACCGTGGCTCATTTGGGTTGGGCTAGGGGGGTCAATTTATTTTCCAAAGCACCAGAAAGCAGAAGCAATGGATGGAAGCTAATCAAGCAGAGAAGCAACCTGGAATTCAGGAGGAACTTCTTAACAGTGAGAACAATTAACCAGTGGAAGGACTTGCCTTCAGAAATTGTGGGTGCTTCCATCCCTGGAGTTTTTAAAGAAGAGACTGGACAGCCATTTGTCTGAAATGGTATAGGGTCTTCTGCCTGAGCTGGACTAGAAGACCTCCAAGGTCCCTTCCTACTCCTACTCCTACTCCTACTCTACTCTACTCTACGACTACCTATATTGTATAAAATCATCAGTTCTTCCTGACATATATGACTGTCCATGCTAGATATCAGTTGCTTGTGACCATCATTGCTTAATAACCACACTTAACAATTTCTCATTTTCTCACATTTAATATTTAAGGGTGAGTTATTTGAGACTTCTTTCTACAAAATACATTTTCTACTTTTTTTTTCAATTCGTAGAAAATGCAACATTTCCCTTAAGCGGAGTTTCAAATCCTGCTGGCCATATGGACATCTGAAAACAATATTATCTTTCTGCAATATTTTTGCAGTCAGCTTCTCATTATATGTCTGTGCATTATGGGTTTCTTTTTCCCCTACCCAGCTGGTGTTTTTGGTCTTAATAAGTCCTTCTGTCTTTTTGGGCTAGCTGTGTTCTTCAATGGGATACACGAACGGAAGAATAATAAGAGGAGACGCCCATATTTGCAGATGTTTCGAACCGAGAAAAACCTGGAGGTGGAACTTCCGATGGCCAAATCAACCTTATGATCCTGTTTCTACACAGTTGCTTATCATTGCTCACATGTACCCATTGGTGTGCACTGCGTCACTTCCCTCTGTGCACAAATGATGAAGTTTTGTGGTTGGATTGAACATCCTTCTGGAGCGTTTCCTTTTTAGGCATGACCAGCTGAGCACATTACATGAACTGGCAGCAGAAAT